ATTATTTTTTAACTAATACATTACTAATACTAATTTACAACTAATACATTAATGAAAATAATTTTGAATTAAGAATTCATTTGTCAAACTGCACTATTTAAATAATCTAAACTGTAACCACAATTACATAAAATACACACGTTTATATTACACCAAAAAAAGTTGGTGTAGAAACCATTTTCACTCAGAAATTGCAAGTAAATTTCACAAACAATTACAAAGAAATAGCACGTTGAATTAAATGTAAAATTTTGAAGTAGAAAAACTGAAGTATATTTCCTTATTCTAATGTAAATGTACTCCATCTTTAATTTACGACTTCAGAAAATCTTTTTTTACAGTGTGCAGTATATGCACTGTAACCTAAAATTGTTTAATAATACTGTCCATGTTATTTTTCAACTACCCAGAAACTAAATTTGTACATTTTATGAAAAAATGCCAGCTAGGTGTGAGAGTCGTTGATCAAGTTCTGATTCTGGGAGTCACAATTCTCAATCCGCATTTTAATTTATTTTTTATTAATTAATTTAGCAACTTCATATTACATATACATATTCATTTAATTACTTATGTAATTATAGGTACTTTTTTAAATAACTGCAAATTAATAGTAAATTAAAACATTTGTACCGATATGCAAGGGTGTAGTGGGTAGTTGCTAGGTGGTTACTTATTAAATCAAAAGAGCTTATCTTCAAGTCTCTGTGATATTACTGTTTCTATGGCGCCGGTCCCTCTTTCAGTGCCAATCTATGGGAAATTAATATTTGTCAGACTGAACATCAAAGTTTAAAACTTAACTCTGATTGTAAGTAATAGTACTGCTGGCCTTATTAAACGTCAATAATTAGTGATATTTTTGTGATTTTCATTTTCAGGCATACCGTAAATTAGCAAAAGAGTACCACCCCGATAAAAACCCTAATGCAGGTGACAAGGTGAGTTCTCATTTTATCGAAAGCTATTAACATGATAATTAACATAATAATAATATTTTGACCTGTTTGATTTAGTTTAAGGAGATCAGTTTTGCATACGAGGTACTGACTAACCCGGAGAAGAAGGACTTGTATGACCGGTATGGGGAACAGGGCTTGCGTGAGGGTGGTGGTGGAGGAGCCGGAATGGAGGACATCTTCTCTCACATCTTTGGCGGAGGTCTGTTCGGCTTTATGGGCAGCCAGAGCAGCAGGAGCCGGAATGGTGGCCGACGGAGAGGGGAGGACATGATACATCCACTGAAGTGAGTAAATATGAAGAAAAATAACCTGAAAATAAAAAATTAAGTACTTGAGGGAAGAGGAAAATTATTTTTTTCATGACCTATTTTAAAGGGACAGTTCACCCAAAAATGAAAATTCTGTCATCAT